TAGCTGACCATCATTTTTCCTGTGCTTATACGCTGGTGGTACAATGCTTTCCACCTCCTATATTCATCATTCATATAACCCCAAAAATTAGATAACGTTTTCTCAAAACCTTTTTGGATTGGGACTATAACATAATTTAACTTCAATGAGATGAGAATTGGTATAGAATAAGCCAAAAGATTTCTCAGGTTTTTTGTTTTTCATAGTTATTTTTTAATTATACATAACATAATTGAGTGACTTTTATATTTCATTAATACGTCACCTCTTTATAATATTTTATTTTTATTCATGATCTAAAAATACTCATTTTTTGTCATCCACAACCTATTTTTAGAACCTACTGCGTGGAAAATTTTGTTCATATTTTAATGACATGGTGATGATGGTTATATGCATTTGAAACAAATTCAAAAAGATGAAAATAAAACAAAAAAACTCAAAGTCATTAATTAAATGAAAAATTATAAAAACTAAAAGGATTAATTTAGACTAAAAGTGCAATTTACACATAGACTTCACTATTCTTAAAAAATATGATGAATTAAAAAAGAGAGAGAGAGAGAGAGAATGATGATGACCTTGAACCACTGTAGTTCTCTTTGCATTTGCAGAGCTGCTCCTGAGATTTGATCAAGCTTAAGCTGGGATTGAGCTTCTAGTAGCCCTGCCAAATGTAACAAATTATTATCATAGTTATCTGCGAAAGTAGACAAATCATACTTCAGAACCTCATGAGCATATATGAGGCTAAAAACTTTTTCTTGTCGATATGCAACTGCAATCTCTATAATGTTTTTGCCGTCGTTGTCAAGAGTCCTCAATAAATCTGGATTAGATTTAATGATTTCGACAATAAACTCCGTCATCCCCCGCTCAGAAGCGTTGATGATTGCCTCCTCCACTAAACTTTGATGAATTTCTTCAACACTTAAACCCGCTATCGTCTTAGAGATCAAAAGCAGAAGCTCATGAGCATAGACATGGGTCAGCTTCAAATCATAGAGTTGCTTGATTCCTGCAGAAATAAATATAGGTTTTAACTAACTAATTACTAGAATAGAATAATTTGTTGCTAGAGCAAGAGTTGAATATATATATATATATACATATATATATATATATATGTATAACCGAAAGCCGTTAAGTGGTCAGGTAACATACCAAAGAATTCCAAAAGAATTGACCAAAATTCAAACAGTTTCTCTTTCCCTGTAAAAGTGAAGTAGTATTACTTTAAAATGCTTATAAGACAATGTTATATATATTTATCATTTTTCATAATATAAAATTATATAATATATAAATATTAAAAATATATTATATAATTCAGGAAGGGTTAGGCTCGAACTTTGAATTTGAATTTTAAACAAGTCTCATTTTAACTAAGTACGTTTAACGAATTTAATCTTAATTTTGTTCAATCCTTCACAAAGATTCCAAGGGCTTTCAAGTTTGACTGGATAGTTCAATCCTTGTACATGTTTAATGAAAATATATCATCTGTAAGTATTGTAAACAATTAATGAATAATCATTTAAAATTATGTAAAATCCATCAAAATATATTGTGTGAAACCCAACACTTAAAATTGCTGGTTGCTACATGATTGTTTGTTGTGATTAGATCATTTCAAGAGTGAAATAAAAGAATTGCACATAATCATAATATATAATATAACTACTAATTTTAGTAGCTAAATTGCCACTAAATATAATAATGCTCCATAAAAGAAACCTTAATAAAAAGAAATTAATTTTCTATTATCAGAAAACCAAATATTAAGAAATGAAGTGTGCTTTTATTCAAGTCTTGTAAAGCATACCTTGCATCATGAAGTTTTTCGTTTCCTTTTGATCTTGTTGTTCCAGAGTATTTATACGAACATCGTCACCACTGGACAAAGCTGCCGAATGTTTTATCTTTAAACCTTCGACAACAATGGACTATTTTAATATTTTTGTATACTTTCTCTCTCTCTCTCTCTTTTCCACAGTTGCAAACTCATTTATTCGTCCAGCGTTTATTGCACTTATTTGTTTTTGGCTAAAATCAACTTTGGGGGCTGAACTTTGCCCAAGTTTTACTTTTAATTAGGACCTCATGTTATATCAATAACAAATCAAGACACCAAGCTTTAGTGTGCTGTGATTAATAATGGTTTGGTTTTTATTGTCAAAATTTTTGGCTTCTGTTGCTTTTATATATATAAGATATATGTTTATGGCATCTTTGATGCTTTACTTGAGTTGTCTTGACTATCATCTATTTAATTAAATGATTTTAGCTAAGAAAAGGAAACTCTACCTGGCACTTAATTGTCCCATATATACTTTGGAAATATATTTCGTAAAAAGGGATTATCTTTTTTTAATACGTAATACCCAATTAAATCCTCGAATTTTACTCCAAAATGTAAATAAACATTGAATCTTTTATTGTGTAAAATTAAGTCTATAAACTTTTCTTTAATTATAATTATACTTACTAAATCTTAAAAATAATAAATAATGTCCAATTGATAGAATTTTCAAAATAACATTTTCTTAAATATTTGTCATTCGAAGCTCAAAATAAATCTACCTATTTTTTACAAATTAAATTATCCATCTAAGAAAATTAACAAAAAATTTATTTTATATTGTCAAGATTCTAATTATAATAAAATAAAAAATTTCATGCAATAAAATATCATAAACTTATTTCTATTTTTTAGTAAAGTTAGGGCATTATTCCTTTTTTCTGTTTTTTCTTTGTGCTAAAGATTATCTTGAATCAAGAAATTGGGTAGAAAGAAAATTTGATAGTGAGAAAGAGAGTAGTGATACTGACAAGAATAAATCATGCGTTGCCGAAATGAGAGCCCACAGCAGCTAAGGAATGCAGAAGGTTGAAGAGACAGTTCTAAAACAGCATTCGATCCAACTGAGGTTTTAGCGACTGCTAATTTTGGGCAACGGCGGAGCATATCCAAAGCAACATCTGATGAAAAGAAGATATCAAAAAAAAAAAAAGACTTATATAAGCCGTCACAAATATATGAGCTTTTATTCCACTGATTCAGTTTTTTTGGGAATTAACATAATAATTTAACATGGTTTAGTCACAATTACAAAATTTCAATTGAAATCAAATTAATTAATAAAAAATTAAATTTATCTAATGAAAATATTTAAATAAAATTTATTTATTTATTTGTTATGAGTAAGGATTTTATGATTATAATTAAACCACGTCAAAAATAACTTTCACAAAGGGAGTGTTCAAGTTAAAAACTCCACAAGATTTATTATATAAGAAAGAAAGGGGTTTTATTAGTATTTACCAAACAATTTGCTTCGAATACACGAACTGACGACCGAGGCTGCTTGAGTTTTATTTTCTCGTGAGAGTAGATATGCTAGTGTAGTCTCGTTATATAGGTAGTGAGTCATATCTTTATTGCCTCTATCACATGCGAAACTAAGTGGAATAAACCCATGTTTATCTGGAAAAGTAAGCAATTTCTTGTTCCTTCCGATCAAGCTTTTGGCAATCTCGGTGTTTCCAGGGGAGCATGCGACAAGGTGAAGAGCTGTGCGACCGGAGGAACCTTGCGCTTTCACGTCTTCTTCCGACATGTAGCTTAGCAATTCATTAACTATTTCCAAGTTACCTGCCGTGACTGCTAAATGAATCGGCCTGCGGACAGTGGTCCTAAATACTTCGGCGTTGATTAATTGCGGTTTCGCCGTCAAGAGACGATTTGTAGCTTCCAAGTCATTTCGGAAAATAGACTTGATCAAGTCCAAAATGTCAGTGCGTTTAACAACCGCAGCCACTATCACCAATTATAACGTAATCAGTTTACGGACGGACTCACGTGTACATATATAGGGTGTCCATTTTCACCCTAAAGATTCAAAAATAAAACAATTCAAAAAATATCTCCGAATTTTCTCTTGAATATTTTTTGGTCGATAAAATTAATAAATTCATCAAAAATTGAAAAATAAAACAACTGGAAAAATACTCCAAAATTTTGTACTGAATATCTTTTTATTATTAATAATTATATATTATAAATACACACTTTTTAAAAAATCCTGAATTCACTGATTTATTTAAAAGAAGGAGAGTACATCTTGTTATTTAAATGTTATTTAAAATAATTACATATTTTGTATATAATCTTTAAAAATATTATGCTTTTATAGCCAAACACGGTCCCCTTTTTTTGCTTTTGAAAATAAATAATTAACAACAAAAGCCTCAAGTAAAAAGTAAATTGCATTCCTTATCCTCAAAATTCGAATTGAATATTTTTTAATCCTTAGAGTTTTAAAGTTACTTATGAATCATTACTAAATGGTTCACCTGGGGATTTTCTTTTAATTTTTATAAAATAATTTTAAAATTTTATCTTTTAAAATTATTGGACTTTTGAGATTAAAAAAATATAAAAATCTTATATCTAAGAGTTTTTTATATTGTTATTTTAGTTGTTATTGTTGTTAATTTTTTTCTTTTGAAATTTATTAAAAATTCTCAAATTTAGTGTCTTTAGTTTTTTAATTTACTTTTTCATTTTCATGAGACAATTTTTTTTTTTGAAAAAATATTTAAATTCTATATTGGTAATTTTTTAATGAAAATTTTGTTATTTTTCGTTTAGGTTTTTTAGTTGATTTTTATGTAGGTTATTTTTTCAAATAATTAATGCTTTAATTACATTTTTTTATATCTTAATATGTGATTGAGATTTAATATGTTGGCTAATCTTAGAAATTTTAAGATTGACTTCTTCATTGATGAGTTGAATATATTTTTTTTAGGATTTTTGTACGAGAAATTATCAAATATATTGTTCGTATAGTTTTTTAAGTCCACAAGCAAATTTAAAGGGGTAACACATATCCTTTAGGCGTTTCTTAAAATTTAAAAAAAAAAAAAACCTAACTAAAAAAAGAAGTGAGACATGTAAATAAGGTATTTCCTTCCTCCTATTTTAATGTCTTTCTTTTTTTTTTTTTACTCGTATTAAAATAGAAGTTTTGATTTTTGTGTATTTAATACTATAAATACAATTTTTTATAATATGAATGTGAACCATATTTTTATTTTAAAAAGTAAAACATAAAAAATAAATTTAAATATAAAAAATAACAGTATAAGGTCTTTAAAAATGAAAAAAAAAATGATTTAAAGACATTAAAAAAAGAGGGTGGACATTTAAAATTGGATAGATAAAGTACTTTTATTACATTGCCTTATTAAAAAGACTTCTATTATAAATAAAAAGCTTTTAAATTTATATAAAAAAAAGAATATAATCATTTTTGTCAACCTAACGGTTAATTGTCATCACCATTTGATTTTTTTTTTGTATAAAGGAGATCGCAGCTTAAATATATAAAAAAAGATTATAAATATTGATATTTAAAATTTAAATTTATTGAATATCATATCATAAAAATAACTATATCAATTAACTAATTTAAATACCGAATTCTCAACATTTGATGCAATGAAAATACTTATCAATGAATTTTGTAGGTATTATTATGCATTAGAAGCAACAAATAGTTTTTTTTTTCTTTTTTACATTATAAGAAGCTAACGTTGACCAAACTGATAATATTATAGAAGCTAACGATTGAAGCATCCCAAAAGCCCAAAAGATTAAAAAAAAAAAATGAAGAGGAAAAGTTAGACACTTAATAAAGTTGGTGTTATAAGAGTGTTATGTAAGAGGATTACACTTTTATAACAATAATGCACCCAGAATCCTATTTATCATATATTAAGGCTTAGGAAAGGGTTGCTTGGGCTTGACTCAAGTCCAAGTCTACTTTTAATAAATAATAATTAAAAATTGTATTTCTTTTGTCCAAGTTAAACTATTACAGTAATTTTTTGGTCAAAATTTTTTAATTTTGATTTCTATTAGTTTAAATATTTTAATTAATTAAATTTTTAAAAATATATTTAAAAATCATTTTATTCAAAATTTTTAACATATTTTTTTATAATTTTATCAATAATAAATAAAAAATAATAAGATATAGAAGTTGAAAAAATTTGATCAACAAATATAAAAACGTGACAGTTTTGTTGAGAGGAGAGAGCAGTGAATAGTAACATGGATTGTTCTAACACAAAAATGGAATTAGGAGAATTACACTTCGATGTTATGGAATGAAAATAATATAATGTCCGGTGGTTTTATCTAAATCAAATACAGTTTGGTGTAACATGAATAATGTACATATTTAAATGTAACGATATATTATTATGGAAACAAAAATGCCCTTAATTCTTGGTTGAAAACTTGTCTGTGAGAACTACCCCCAAAGAACCGTCAGTTCTCAGCTACCACTATACCACCACCATCAGTCCCCAAAAGCCACCAATTATACCATAAAAACCACCAAGCACCGCCTAGTCACCCACCTAAACAATTCATTCTCAAAACGACTAACTGGCCTTAAACTACTCATTTTTCTTGAATTTCCAAGAAAAGATACATTCTTTCCTAGCTCTCAATTTCTTATTTTTTTTCCTTAGGTTTTTTAATCATGTTTCTTTTCTTTTAAAAAAGAGAGAGGGTTTTTCAGAGAGAGAGAGAGAGAGAGGGAATTAACCTGATTCCATTCTTGTATTTGTGTCAGATTTAGGCGACATTAGACGTATTTCGGTCGAATCGCTCAAAGAATCTATAGCAGTAGTCATTTCGATAATATAAAAAAGCATGTTTGGAGCACATGAAATTTGAATAGCTTGTAAAGCACTCATGTTTCTTTTTTTCTTAACAATAGAGGGGGTTTCTCAAAAAAAAAAAAAAAAGAAGGGAGAGAGAGGGAATTAACCTGATTCCGTTCTTGTATTTGAATCAGACTTAGGCGACTGTTGGCATATTTCATCCGACGTGTTTGAAGCATCTATAGCAGTAGTCATGTCGGCAATATAAGAAAGCATGTTTGGAGCATATGAAATTTGAATAGCATTTAAAGCACCCATGTTTCTTTGCTTTTAACAAGAGAGAGAGAGTTTCTCAAAAAAAAACAAAAAAAGAGAGAGAGAGAATTAGCCTGATTCCGTTCTTGTATCTGTATCAGACTTAGGCGACACCAGGCGTATTTCGGTCGAACCGCTCGAAGAATCTATAGTAGTAGTCATTTCGATAATATAAGAAAGCATGTTTGGAGCACATGAAATTTAAATAGCTTGAAGCACTCATGTTTCTTTTCTTTTAAGAAGAGAGAGGGTTTCTCAAAAAAAAAAAAAAAGAATGAGAAAAAGAAAGAGAGAGAGAGGGAATTAACCTGATTCCGTTTTTGTATCTGTATCAGACATAGGCGGCTGTTGGCACATTTCGGCCAAAGTGTTCCAAGCATCTTTAGCTGTAGTGGCCTCGTTAATGTACGAGAGTATGTTTGGAGCACATGAAATTTGAATAGCATGTAAAGCACTCAAATTCCTTTTCAAATCAGCCTCATCACCAATTTCTTCATGTTTTGGAGGTTCTGAAGTTTGTTCCACAACGTCCCACAGATCTCGAATCATCAAATAGTTCCTTATGCAAGCTTTCCAGTTTGCATAGTTCCCATGTCCTATAAGAACTTCGCCAACAATTGCACTCGAACAAATATTATGAGCATCCATCTTTCAACTTCAAACAAATGAAAGAATTACTGAATCAAAGTGATTAATTTAACTAAAATGAATATAAACATCTGAAATACAAATTTGCCCCAAGCACCAAAATTGAATTTTTTTTTTTTAATTTCCTACAAATGTATATGGAATTCATGAAACTGTTAAAAGTTAAAATACTCAACTTACAGGAATAAATAAAATGAATGTTGCTACTCTGCTTGAAGTTGCCAAGATTAAGACTCGATAACCGTTGTTTTGGCTCTACTGCAAGTGGTGAACCCTGAAACGTGTTACTGTAGTCCTTAATGTGCTACTGTAATCATCCAGTTTCATAATGAATAAAACCTTGCCTTACAAACAAGAAAATTGCAGACAATTAGTTTATATGTTAAATATATTTACTTTTAGTTTACTACTTGTATTATTTTATGCTCTTATTGTGTGACCCCAGCTGTCACGTTCTGGCTTATCATGTGAACAGCGATATTAATATATTAATATAATGTGAATGCTAACAAAAAAGATTACAACGCAGACGACATATTCTAACTAAGATTAAGAAATCGCCGTATAATATTGAATTTTATTTTTAATAATAAAATATTTTTAACAAAATTTAAATTTTAAAAAAGACTTTGCCAAGACTTTCGAGCTTCAAGAACTCGTGATTAAATTTTAAAGAAGACTTTGCAAAGACTTTCGAATTTCAACAATTCAGCAGCTTCCCACCCGACTTTTATTTGGAGTTGGATTACAATATTTCTCAACAATGAAAATAAAATATATTACGAATATATTTAAAATAAGATACTAACGAACTTAAAGTTTCTATATTATTTAAGAGGTGATTTTTAAAAAGGTTGAGAATAAAACATAAAATATGACGTAAAAATTACACTATGTAGCAAAAAATGTACACATATGTCATGTTGAAAGAAATAATTATTTGTTTTTTATAAAATTTATACTAAAATAAATATTTTTAATATGAAATTTATAATAACTAAACAAATGATTTTAATTTATAAAATAGAAAGAAATATGATAAAAAAAGAATAATAAGAGAGAAGTATAACCAGATTTGATAGAAAAGTCCAAGTGTCACAGACTTAAGGAAGAGTCATGAATCTCACATCGAACATAATAGAAGAGTCACTAGGGTATAAAAGGGTTCATTCCATCTCTTTCTTATGAGACGTCTTTTGTAGGACAAAACTGTAAGGTCAAAGGGGGCCAAAGCGGATAATACCTCACAAGGGTGTGAACCGTGGCGGTTAGATTGATCTGGGACGTCGGATGAGTGAATACTCAGGTTTCGGAGAGGCGCGAGTTTGGAGCTTAAGTCTCGACCTGTGACAAGTGGTATCAGAGCCAGCCCTAAACCGTTCAATCAACGTCAAGCACCTCGAGAGAGGTAGGCAGGGTGGCCAGCCTCCATGATGAGGGCGTCACGAGGTTGGGTGAAGGAGAATGTCACGGACCTAAGAAAGAGTCTTGAATCCCACATCGAACATAATAAGAGGGTCACTGGGGTATAAAAGGGTTCACACCATCTCTTCCTTGTGAGGCGCCTTTTGTAGAACAAAATCGTGAAGCTAAGGGGGGTCAGAGCGGACAATACCTCACAAGGGTGTGAACCGTGACGGTTAGATTGATCTGGAACGCCGGATGAGTGAATGCCTGGGTCCTGGAGTCACGCGAGTTCAGAGCTTAAGTCTCGACCCGTGACATAAGAACCTATCTTGATATGTGCATCTATAATTTTAAAATATTTAATTAAGATTATCTTCATTTTTTATCATAGAATTTATCTTTTGTAAGATAAATTTTCGTGCTTAACATACATACGAATATAATTATATACACTTATTTGTTAAGCAGAAGTGAAAGTGAAAACTTATCTTGAACTACTGGTCATTAAATAAGATTATAATATGGAAATTGTTCATATCCACGGCGTAAGTCCTTCAAACCAAATGTAAAAATTTCTCACTAAGAGTTGTTCAATATATGCTCAATTGCTCTCTCTACTTTTGTTAAAACCTTTTTGTTCTTGATGTTATGAAGAAAACAATTTTTCTCTAGCTCTAGTAAATGGCTGAATGTATTATGCATTAACAAAACAAAAAAAAAAGTTGGGCGGACTTCCATTTCTTTTATTGGTTTGTAAACTGCTTATGGCATTTCTTTTCATAAAAATGTTAGAAAATATGTGAAAGAAGAAAAAATAAATTGAAAAAATATTATTTTTCATAAGAATAAAAATGTAATAACAATAAAATGTATCTTAAAAGAAGTTATAAACAAAAAAAATACAATAGTAATAAAATATACCTTGAAAAAAATTATTAAAAAAATAAAATAAAATGATGTATAAAATATTATATTTGTAGTCTCTATTTTTATAAAAATTCTTTAGTGACAATAAGGATTGAATAGATAATTTTTAAATTAATTTTTTAAATTATAAAATGGATATAATAAGTGATAAAGATAATATTAAATTTTTTGCATTTATTTGAAATATAAATTTAATAATTAGAGTTTAAATAGATATTTTATTATTTAAAAATTTAAGATAATTTTTAATATCTTATATAAATTTTTTAAAAAGATAATTTTGAAAATCAAGTAAAAAAAGATTGTTGAAAGATTTTAATAATTAATTAATTTTTTAAAAAAAGTTATTTGATAAACAACTACAATTATTTATTAAAAAATAAAATCTATATTTCATATTTTTAATTTTAAAATATATATATCTAAATTGATTTTATTTTTAATTATAATTTAAATAATTTTAATATTTAAATAAATTTAAAATGATCTAATTTATAATTAAAAGAAACTATCTTATTTTTTAAAAAATATTTTATATATCATTTAAAAGAATTATCCGTATAAATATTTATGTGATAAATTTATTTGTATATGTTATTATATATATATATATATAGATATATATTAGATGACACGAGAATTTCAGCACCAGACTGCAATTGAAACTGGTCCAAAGCCCTGATAACCAAGTTTTGAATTTTGTTTGTTTTAACCAATAGATATAAATTCAAAGCCAACAAAACATGATTTTGAATTATGAGGCGGTAAGCATGCTTGGACCACCAAATGTGGAAAATGCCCTTCTAGTACTATGACGATATTTTTTGAAACACTCAATCCTCTGTTCAAATTTAGGGGTGAGCATATATCAGTTTTAACCGATTTATCCGACCGAAATTATGAAATATGGTCATTTCAGTTCGGTTTAATTGGTTTTCGATTGTAATCGATTTTAAGATCGGTTAAATTAGTTAAATCGGTCGGTTATCGATTTTTAAAATTGATAACCGAATTAATCGATCTTATAATAACTAAAGGTAAATATGTAAATTCTCTTTAAAAAAACCTAAATTTAACTTACCTTTTTTATAACTCATCCAGTCCACCCAGTCGTTTCCCCTTTCTGCTCTTTGTTCTTCCTCTGTTGCAGCTTACTGTGTTCTGCCCTTTGCAGTTTGCTCTCCTTCAATCTCCTGCATCTTTGCCTCCCTCTTACTCTCTTGCTTGGCTACTTGCCTCATAATCTTTTGCTCCCTCTAATTTGCTACACAAGATCCACAGTTGTAGAGATCAAATTGCCCAAGACGCCATCGTAAGTTCTTAAATCTTAATAACCTTTATTTTTTCTTTTAACGTGATGTTTAGAGCTGTATTTTTTCTGTATGTTTTAAGCTAAAGCATAACCCAAACAGCCAAACCTTAGCCCCAAGGTGTGCTCACGGTAATATTTTTTTTGCTAGTATTTTTCAGTAGCTTTTATTGTTTACTTGTTTAGAGTGATTCGATAGATGGACACTATCTCTAGCCTAGAAGGAATAGGTCTAGGACTTTCAGTGGCTTGTTTACTCCTCCAATTGATTGACTAGGTTTTGGAATAAAAGGATCAAAAGTTAAAACCTTCCATGCCCCATGTTGGATTTACAGTATCTGTAGCAAGCTGTGAAAATACTCCTTTTAATCGAGGAAAGCACTTTAACTTATAAAAATGAAGGGAGCAAGATTTTTAATAACAGTTTCTGCCAGTTTTGACTTGCTTTGCTAAATTACCAAAAGAAAGCAACAACTATTCGGACTAAGACGATGTGGACAGTGGACTCAAGAAAAAGTAAAAGAAAATGCTATTTCTAGCATGAAGGCCGACTGGGGAAACCAATTAATGTGTGGTGAAGCGCACCTTTTTCAGATTGATGAATTTTATCTGCTGATTTAGTTAAGTCTATTCCCCAAGCAAAATTCAAGCTCTGCAATTATAAGGATACTGCAAATGCAGCTAGAGACCAGGCAACAAATGCTACTCAATCAGCTCAAGAGTCTGCTCAGCAAAGAC